TCTACTATGTCATTCTTCATTTCCTTCATAGTTTCCATATCTTTTCTCATGCTGTTGAGCATCCTTACAATCAGTATTCTGAATTCTATAGCTGGTAGATTTCTTATCTCCATTTCATTTAGCTCTTTTCCTGGAGAATTCTTTTGTTCTTTCACTTGGGGCTTGTATTTTTGTCTCCCCATTTTGGCTACCTGTTTGGATTTGTTTCTATGTATTAGGTAGATCTGCTAGGACTCCCAGTCTTTCGTATGGTCTCTGGTGCGGGTCAATGTCTGATGCTGTTTGTGACTGGCCTTGAGTGCCCTGTTTGAAGCTTTCCACATACCACAGCTTCTGGTTTCCTCTGCTGGGGCTGGGTGCATTTGGAAGGGACCAAGATCTGCTTTTCCAAGCCCTGAGTCCAAAAGCAAATCAGGCAAAGACTCAAAGCACCTGAGGCTGATTGTTATTCAGTCTCTCAATGAGCCTCAGGCTGTAGAAACTCCACAGGGCAGTGAGAGGTTTTCAATGGGTGGGACAGGTGCTTCCTCCCCAGGCAAAAGCTGCTTGGAAGGTAAATGTCTGCCTGAGAAAGATGTCCTCTGCCGTATGAGGGCATGACTCAGCACAGAAATGCAGATGGCTGCCCTCTGAGCTCTAACCCTGAGCCAGCATCCCTGGATTCTCCTCACACAGCTCTAGTCCACTCTGCCCTCCCTCTACCAGAGACCAAGGTGAGTGGTTTTGTAACATGCATCCTTCAAGAAGGTACCTGCATTTCCAGCCATCTCTCCCTGGCAGACAGAAACCCTGCTGCTTTTCACAGCCAGATGTTATGTGGGCACCTTTCTCAGTTCTGGTGCTCTGGGCTGGGAAGCCCAAGCTCAGCTTGGGGTTGAGGCCCCAGAGTAATTGAGACATTTTTAAAGAAAGGGTTGTTTTGTAAAGAAGCATTTTTAAAAAGATAAGAATAACAATATTAACCACAGAAGTCATTGGTTGCTCTAATCAAATGTAAATCTTAAGACTCTGAGAATTACATATCAAAAAAATGTTTATTTAGTAGGAAAATTGCATACCTTGCTTATAAATAAGTATATAGATAGATACACACACAAAGATAAAGTGTATGTTGGCTATAAAGAGATTATGGATGAGCCTAAGCCTGCTATACATTCAGTACATATTAAAAATAGCAGAAAAATGTCCGTTGTACCAAATTAGATTTGCAAGAGGTGTATCATTACAGGAGGCCACATTTCTGTTTGTTAGCTCAATGCCTTTCAATAGCTGCTCACTGCTGATGGTGCGGACCATCTGCTTTTCATGAGTAAATACTGTTCCAGCAAGAAGCATGGAAGCCTAAGCTCGCTCCCATTTCTCTTTGGGAAATGTTATACTTATTCTCAAATTTTCCCTGGAGAAGCAGACAAGAAAAGCATACGGATGAGTTACTTAGTTTCCTTTTCCTTTCTTCACTCCAAGTCCTCACTCACTTAGCTAACATTAAATATGGCTTGGGGGGGGGGGTTACATGCAAGT